GTAAACAGTGAGGTGGCAAGGTTTGCAGATGATACTAAACTGCTCAAGATAGTTAAGACCAGAGCAGACTGTGAAGAACTTCAAAAAGATCTTACAAAACTAAGTGATTAGGCAACAAAATGGCAAATGAAATTTAATGTGGATAAATGTAAAGTAATGCACATTGGAAAAAATAACCCCAACTATACATATAATATGATCGGGGGCTAACTTAGCTACAACTAATCAGGAAAGAGATCTTGGAGTCATCGTGGATAGTTCTCTGAAGACGTCCACACAGTGGCAGTCATAAAGGAAACAGGATATTAGGAATCATTAAAAAAGGGATAGAGAATAAGACGAAGAATATCTTATTGCCCTTATCTAAATCCATGGTATGCCCGCATCTTGAATACTGTGTACAGATGTGGTCTCCTCATCTCAAAAAAATATACTGGCATTAGAAAAGGTTCAGAGAAGGGCAACTAAAATTATTAGGGGGTTGGAACGGGTCCCATATGATGAGAGATTAAAGAGGCTAGGACTTTTCAGCTTGGAAAAAAGAGACTAAGGGGGGTTATGATAGGGGTATATAAAATCATGAGTGGTGTGGAGAAAGTGAATAAAGAAAAGTTATTTACTTGTTCCCATAATATAAGAACTAGAGGGCACCAAATGAAATTTTATGGGCAGCAAGTTTAAAACAAATAAAAGGAAGTTCTTCTTCACACAGCGCACAGTCAACCTGTGGAACTCCTTGCCTGAGGAGGTTGTGAAGGCTAGGACTATAACCGGGTTTAAAAGAGAACTAGATAAATTCTTGGAGGTTTAGTCCATTAATGGCTATTAGCCAGGATGGGTAAGGAATGGTGTCCCTAGCCTCTGTTTGTCAGAGGGTGGAGATGGATGGTAGGAGATGATCACTTGATCATTACCTGTTAGGTTCACTCCCTCTGGGGCACCTGTAATTGGCCACTGTCAGTAGACAGGATACTGGGCTGGATGCACCTTTCGTCTGACCCAGTATGGCCATTCTTATGTTCTTAAGTTGACTGAATCCTCTTGGCCAATTAAGAGGCCCCTTTGTATCCTAGAGGCAACCAAATTGTTGTGGATTTGCTGGGAAGGGTCAGGAAGCCCTAACAAAAATCCCATGGCAAATATGGCCCAGCTCTTCCTTTTAAGTTTGCATGAGAGGTCAGGTTAAGTTATGACATGTGAAAATGGAATTTCACATTGGAAACTGTTTTGCAGCCTTTATAACTGATAGTGGTTGTTTCCACTCCCATTTCAGTATATGTGCTATGTAAAGAAGAGGATAAGAGGGAAAAAGTTACATTTGTTCCTTCTAGGCACTTGCCATGAAAGAAGAAATTCCATTAGATGAGAGTGCACCATGGCTATACTGCATTTACTGTACAGGATGCTAGGCTATAAGCTTGAGAAAAAAGAAAACGGGCAATCTGCTCTTCTCACTTACCCAGGTGTAAATCAGGAATACCTCTACAGAAATAATAGTTAAAAGATGATGAACTAATTCAGTAAACACTATTTTAAATAGATCTGTTAGTGCTCTAAGTACATTTCCTGTACAGCTTTTAATGTGGATCAAAGTTATGTAAGGAAGGACTGAAATCTGAAAAGAAAATACTACTAATAAATAAAATCCAGAGAAATTATTCTTTGTCTTGTGACAGAGACAATATTCTAACCAGGCTTGGTTTAATGGTGTTAGAACAATTCTTGAATAATTTGGCAAAGATTTAAAATGTCAGCTGTTAAGCTTTTTAAAAATGCCCAAGACCTTAGCTTTTTGATCCCCCTCAAAAAGAATTATAAGTTACCTAATCATCAGAGTACTTCAGCATATATGTCTGTCTCTTGGAATAGATAACACCTTGCAGCACCAGCAGGTGTGTTATATTACCAGCTCTGTTCAAGGGCAAACTGAATTATAACACAGAAATGTTACTTGGAGAAATAGCTTTTATTATCTCTATAAAATTAATAAATCAAGGTTTTAAACCCTTTTGTACATACCTTTTTAGGCATTTAGTTTTTCCTTAAGTATTTTATGTAGTTTGATTTAAAAAAAAGCTGAATTCTGTTTCTCTGTTCAGGACAGAATCCATTAGTGTCTGACACAGTTCATTTATAGTTCTTATGAACTGGTGTTGAAGGAAAAGAGCCCCATTGACTTTCTTGTTTTCAGTTTCATTTCTTGAACAAATGGAATTTTACAATCAGTTTACATGCCTGAATAACTCAAAGTTGTTTTCAGTATATGTACATTTTTGTTTTAACATGTCTGTTAACAAGAGGAAAGTTTAACTAATTTAAGTTTACCATAGAGTGAGGCATTAAACCTTAAGGTACAAATTCTGCTCTCAGCTAGCCTAATGTAAATCCAGAGCAAGTCCTTGACATCAGTGGACTTACAGTCAATTTACACTGGTGTAACTCAGAGCCAAATTGTTATCCCTTCTCAGATCCCTTTACCTGGGTAAGAGGGCTGGAATGGCATAAAAGGGATCTAACGCGCTGGTTCTGGAGGGGGTAGATTCTCCCCAGCACAGGTGCTGGTGTGATGGGGATGGAGGGGCAGAACCACAGTATACAGATTTGTGAAGATTCTGAGCTGCAGCCCATAGTACAGCCCCGAGAGACTGCTGTATCTTAGACAGACCTTGAGGATTGTCTAAGTTAACTTGGGGACCACAGCATTCCCTGAAGCAGCCCAGGACTGAAAGGGAACAAAAGTAGCTTAAAGTCTCCCCATCCTATTTGGGCTGCAGATTCTCTGCTGAACCTCTTAGAGGCACAGTGCAAAATGTGGCTCTATGGCAAAGAGTTTTATTTATAAAATCGTAGATGATAAAAATGCAATAAAGCAGTGAGATCACTTACTGATCTCCCTGCTAATGAAGGATTGTTCCCTATGCCACATTTTTGAAGTGAGTTGAACAAACTAGTTTGTTTATAATTTTTCTTGGGAGATTACTACAGCTGGTTCAAAAATGACATTTATTCACTTTTTTTAGTTGCTCTTGTTCTTTACTGTTTGCTGTTGTCTGATCACTTACGGACAGATTCTAGAGTACTGTGTGTGCACATGCCTGCTCCTCTACTAGTGATAGCAGTGGGACTAGTAATGGAATTTCTTGAGAGAATGTTGACTATAGCTGTATCTCTACTTGGACAGCATGTGGTCTCTTCCCTCTCCCCCTCCCATCAAAAGTGTCTCCCAGGCTCTTGCTGCTTTCCTTCAGTAGTGGGGGGGCGCGGAAAAGAGGAAGAGGTTTCCAAAGCAGTGTGCTGGGGAAAGGGGCAGCTACACAGAGTAGAATCCCTCTAGGCAGCTTTATTATACTTCCATGGCAGAAACTTCATATGTGGCAATAATAAGTGGGAAAAATTTAAGAACTAAATTCATCCATGGAAGCTCCATGCATGCCTCAATGTTCAGTGCACTCTCTTCCACTTTTCTTCAATACCGGCCATGTCAGTGTCCTGTTTCTTTATTAAAGGAATCAATTAATAATGGACAATGCATGGACAATTCTACTCCAGAATCATAGGAATTCCATATATACCTTCCATAGTATCTCAGGCTAGTGAAGAAGTGTAGGACAGAGTTCCATATTCATGTATTTTATGCCATGGGGGATCTCTTTGTGAGGTATTCTGAGTCTGTTCTACAGCATTGCTTTGAACAACTCTCCCTTTTCTGTCCTTATGCTTTAGGAAAATTGTGGAGTGACCAGATGATCAGAAGGGCTAAAAAAGTGGACTAATCAGTGTGATAGTAGCATAAACAATGCTCCCATGCTGCAGGAATTCTGCTCCATAAACCAGAACACTTTGCCCAGCTCTGCACTATGGTCACTGCAACTAAGAAAACACAATAAAAATAAACACTCATAATGCTAAAGTTTTTGGACCTCAGCTCCTTGCATAGTAACTTTCACTGTTGAACTTTAAGTTTTGTTAATAGATGACTGGTTGAGTAAATAATTTACTCCAGAAAGGTTAGATCTTGTCCAGTCAGTCTTGTCTTCTGTTTATTGTAGCCTTATAACACAAGACATGATTATGGGTTAAGATGGATTATCTGATTTTTTTAAAGCATTCCCTATTCATATGTAATGTAACAAATTCCGAGTATGTAGAGCGAGATTCTGAGGATCTGGTTCATGATCTTTATAACCTTTATTTTCAGTCAGACTTACCACTATGCCCTGAAATTCTGAAATGTTAAGACCATCTATTTACATTTGGTTGCTAAACTGCCCTTCTCTGTCTCTCTCTGAAACCCAAGAATATTCTAAAGAAAGTTGCCAATGTATTATTTTATATTAAGAACTGACTGTAAACAGTTTAAAAAATAAACACATGCCCAGTCGTCTCTTAATAAAAATAGTATTTACACTTTGATGCCAATCAATTGTTCAAAGCCCCCCAATAGCTTTGTGATATGTTGGAGGTAAAAATAAGTTTAAAATAATTCTTCATGGTCCTGCTCCTTCTCCCATTTAAGTCAACGGAAAAATTTCCATTGACTTCAGTAGGCTTTGGGTAAGGTTTTTGAGTTTTGATCTTGCACTATAGAAGTCAATGGGAGTTTTGCCTTTGACTTACGTGGGAGCAGGATCAAGCCCCATTGGAACAAAACCTGTTCCCCTCTTATTGCATGGTATCTCAGGACATGGTCCTGGTAATACTGGGATATATGGAGTACTGACATTCAGAACATGTTTCCATTGGGTTTTGTATGAGTGTATTTCCAAGATAAGTGTACAGGAATCCATAACAATATTAATTCAAAAACGAATCCTTTCTCAGATTAACAGGAGAAATAAAATGAGCCCCAAATTTTCTTGCCTTATCTGAAAACCATTTTAATTGTGGGTTATTTTGATGAGGGAGTGCTGGATTTTATTGAGGCTTTCATCTGTCCAATTAACTGAGATTGAAGTGCTTGCTTCTATGTAATTTATCTAAAATGTATCTGTTTATGACAGGATGAATTCTTACATCAATTTCAGCTTGCCCACCAACCATGGATATTGCCAAGCGACACAGAGAGTGAAGGTGTGGCAGCAGATCAAGATAAATGTGAGTATGTTTGTTGGGAGCTGATGGTGCCTGAGAGAATATATGTAAAAAATGCTCTCCTCCCCTCATTTTCATAGGGCCAAATCCTGCACCCCTTATTCACAGAAGTAATCTTTACTCCAGTGGGGCTATTCTCATAATGATTACTCACCTGAGTGAGGGTTGAAGGATTGCACATGTAATAGTTCTTTACACAAACGTTCCTACAATCAAGATCCTGCAAGTTCCTGAGTGGCCCTTATAGTAGTATATTTTGCCAGAAGCTGGGAATGAGCGACAGGGGATGGATCACTTGATGATTACCTGTTCTGTTCATTCCCTCTGGGGCATCTGGCATTGGCCACTGTCGGAAGACAGGATACTGGGATAGATGGACCTTTGGTCTGACCCAGTAGGGCCATTCTTATGCTCTTGTAGGAGCATAGTCCCTTTGAAGGCTGTTGGTCCAATCATGTTAGTAAAGGTCAACAGGATTATGACCTAAATGAGAGAACAAGTAAAGACAAGTAATGCACACTATGAATCTCCATACATTGAAGCTTTAACCAATCATATCTGGTTATGCAATACCTATAAATAATCTTGTTGGAAATGTTAAATGTTCTGCAAATTGAATTTATTTTAAGCATAGCAGCTTGTGATCTGTCAGGCTGAAAATGTATGCTATTTCCTAACCTATTTTTGGCTTTATGGTTATAAAAAAAAAACAGACTGTTTAATCAGGTGCTTAGAGCACTTTGTACATGGAACTAGAACTGCTTGAACAAACAGCATTACAGTAAGAAATGCCAGGTTCCTACAGGAATAGTCACTGGAGAGCAATGTATAATTAATGAAGATCGTGTCTGATAAACAGAATACATTTTTCAAAATGATGTCACTTGAAAAATTGAAGAATTACATCTGCTCACGCTGATATTGCAAGTGCACAGTTAGCCTGTGGTTTGACTTTCATGTTACAATTTACACATTGAGATTCCCAAAGTAAAAAAATATGTACCCCTTCCCTCTCATTGTTACACTTTTGGCTGTTTTACCTTTATGTTAGTGTATATCCTATAGGCCCAATTTGTCAACCTTTTGTGAACATGAAATTCTCACTTATTCAGGTGTTCTGTGTGTGAAAAGCACCCCTTTGTAAAGGCCCAGATCCTCACAACTAAGGGTATGTCTACACAGCAGCTAGAAGGATGCTTCCCAGAGCAGATAGACAGAAATGCATGAATTGTGCTCGAGCTAGCACTCTAAAAGTAGCAGTATGGCCATAGTGGCATGGGTGGAGGTTTGGACTAGCATCCTGAGTACAGTCCTACCCAATTCCCTGGATATGTACTCAGGCAGCTAGCCTGAGCCCCCACTGGTGCCACTGCAACCTGCTATTTTTAGCACACTAGTTTGAACAGAGCTAGCGCACGTCTGTTTACCTGTTCTGGGAAGCACCTTGCCAGCTACTGTGTAGGTACACCCGGCCTGTTCTAAGAGGACCCTGTGCTTGCCCTCTGTGCAAGAGTTAATTTCACTTTGGGTTCACAAGTAATGCCAGACCAGGTGGCAATTAAATTCAGCCCACTGTGTATCTATTGCAAAATCTTTGACACCTCTTTGACACTTATCAACACAATTAGTTTTGGCTAGAACTTGTGACAATGAGAACAGAGAAGAAAAAATATATAATTGTAAATAATAGTTTCCTTTATGAAAATGATTTAGGCTGTAACATGCTCTCATCTTGATTTTATGCCTACATATCATCTTCCATAATGACCTATTGCACTATTTAAGTTAGGTCATTCTTTGTACTAACATAGGTAGAGAAGGGAGAACAAAAAATGTTTGATCTAAGCAATGTTACACTGTATGTGACATCTGAGAATGGTAGATTGGGTTAAAAATCAGTTTAAAAAAAAATAATTATGTGGTAATAGCAACCATCTGGAGATGGAATGTTAGTGTTGTAGCCAAGCCCAAGGTTCAGAACTTTAACTGCTAGAAAATAGGACCTGCCAAAACCCAGGTGCTGAAATGGCTGTAAAGTGAAGAGCCAATGAGAAGCCTGGCATACCTAATAATACCAGTTTTCAGTGCTCACTGCAGGTAGTGCAGCTGGCAAAGTATGGACAGATTCAATTTCATTTGTCATTCTAGAGTAAAGTTAATAAATGACACTTAAGTCTGCGTGGACACTGTATATGTAATTTAGTGTTGAGGGGCCTGAAAGTTCATAATTTATGGGTCTGAACAGAAAAGCTGCTGAATTAATCTTTACAATAGTAACACCTGTTCTTTGACTCAGCTTTTAATAAATTACATAAGGATAATATTTTCCACATTCTTTGGCTTCTTTAAGATAATAGCACCCAGGTGTAAAGCTAGTCTTGGGTAGTGAGAAAGTTCCTCTAACAATGCAAAAAGTTAGGAGACAAATGATCTCAGACACCTTGTGTTCTTTTATTTTATCTTCTAATGAGCGTTACACTGGGTAACATTTACAGAATCGGCAGCTTACTTATGAGTCTAAAAGAAGACGACTTTCACAGGCAAAAATAGCAATTTAGTGCCTAATTTCCATCAATTTTTAGTGGGAAATAGGTGCCTAGCTGACATTCGTGCCTTTGAAAATCTCCCCCTAACTAAGTCCCATTTTCAAAAATGACTTAGGTGGTTAGAAGCTGAAGTATTATTGAAAGTCAATGGGTCTTAGGTTCCTAAGGAACTTTTGGAAGTTTGAGTTAAGTGCCTAAGTCATTTAGGTGCTTTTTAAAATGTTGCCCATAGTTTGTAAAATAGAACAGGAAGAACCCAAAACAATTGGAAATAAATCCTTTTTTTAAACGGTTCAAATCATTTAGAGCAGGGATCGGCAACGTTTGGCACGCGGCTCGCCAGGGTAAGCACCTTGGCGGGCCGGGCCAGATTTTTTACCTGCCGCCGCGGCCGAACCTGCCGCCGCGGCCGAACCCGCCGCGTCAGCAGGTAAATAAACTGGCCCAGCCCTCCAGGGTGCTTACCCTGCCGAGCCGCATGCCAAACGTTGCCGACCCCTGAGTTAGAGCAAAGTGAAAATGAGTTTTCTTTGACATTAAATGCCAGGATAGAGACTTCTGGAACTCGTTATTTATTAAAAGAAAAGACAATGGGGGAAAAGAGAAATGTGACAATGAAGAAAAGAAAAATAGTCACCAACATGGTTGCTTGGTACCTAAAACAATGTTTTTTTTTTCTTTCAGTGTAAATATTATCCATTCATGATTTGTGGCCACAGTCAATAGATATATCATGTGAATGTAGTAGTTGCCATTCTTTGAGTCTAACTCAACTCTCCATATTAAAAATATAACTAAACAAAAAAAAACCTAACCTGCCCTCCTCCCCCAAAAGAAGAACCCTAATCTTTACCCTAACCTTTACCCTAGTGTGGGTTCAGAAGAAAGTGTCATGACCTCTATAGCAATTAAAACTCTTACAGCTACTGGGTTTATTCTCCCTTGATTTTCTGTATACTCTGAACTCCTGGTGATTGCATTAGGTCTGTGTGCTACGTTTGCACAGACCCTTGAACTTGCACAAAATCAAAGACTTGAGATTCTCTTTTCATTTCAAATGGCACCCTAGGTCCACCAAAAAATCAGCAGCTATGGGCTGATGCGTTTTTCTCTTCAGATGCCACCGTAGAGCCCCTCCGCCCCTTACCATTGCTGTCTTCAGATGCCTGGTGGCTTGCTTTTCTTTCCCCTGTGACTTCAGAGAGTGCATGGTGGCCACTCCCTTCTCAGAAGGAGAGGTGATAAGAAAAAAGCCTCCAATTTCTTAGGGTCTCTGGGTCTGGCAAGAAGCAACTTCCCCTTCAGAGGGTAGCAGGACCGGGCTATAGCATCTCACAGTAGCTAAAAATCCCTTAATGGAAGAAACTGAACCTCCCAGTGAACCTGCAGAAGTTCATTCAGTGCTTGCCCCTGGAAACAGACCCTGCACAGCCTGGTTCATATAGCACATACACATTAAAGTAAATACTGCAAGGTTGGTTCATTATTATTTGTGTTGTGGTAAAGGCGGGGATGGCTCAAGTTCCCTGTGCACAATGGAAAGATGGCACCAGCTGAAAGAATTTGCAGTCTAAGCCCTGTTATAGACCTCAAACCAAGCCTGAATTGAGGGACAGAAGAGTTAGGGGATTTTCCACCACATTTTTACTCATATTGAACTTGAAGTCAATAGAAGCTTTACAATTGACTTCAGTGGGCATAGGATGAAGCCTTCTCTCACCGATTCTCTTTTGGTTCTGCCCTGAGTAGCAGACCCAGCAAGTCTCAGCCCAAGTTTACAAATACAAGAAGTTCAGATTTTGTTCGAGAGAATCTAATTTTGGTGTCCTTATTCACAGGTTAAATGCTTTTATAAAAAGTATCTGATAAAGATAATTTCCACATCTTTATATGGCTAGACTATTCTTTTTCTAGCTTGATTTTGGGGAAAAAAGTGGCTACAAAATTTGGGAGACAGTCATCAACTCTGATGAAACAAAGCAAAGGGCCCAACTCTGCCAGCTTTACCCATGCTGAATAGCACCAAATTAGTAGCAAAATAAATGTGAGTATTCAACATGAGTGAGGATGGCAGGATCAGACCCCAAAAGAGCAAAAGAAAAGACACATTAAAAGGGCACATCATTACATTTCTCACTGAGCGCTTAGTTCTGCCACTCTTATTCATGCTGAATAGTACCTTGCCCCATAAGAAGCCCTACTGATTGAGACTATTGGCAGAATGGAACCACTTGCTTAGTCAGATACTAGAAAGGATTGGGCCCTTACTTCTGAGAATTGGGTTGTGCTATACAGGTATGTTGGAGCCCTCAATTAGTATCCATTCAAATAAATAACTCTAGATATGCCATAGTGAGACATGCCAGCTGCTTGTCAGTCATTGGTAGAAAAAACGTATGACAGTGCTCTCAAGAAGTTAAACATTTACGCTGGCTCAGGATGTGTTTTGTTTTGTTT